GCCCGCGGGCGGGTTGAAACGCGTCGCCTCGTTGCAGTTGCGGATGCGCCCGCGGGCGGGTTGAAACGTATCGCCTGGTTGCGGTTGCGGATGCGCCCGCGGGCGGGTTGAAATGCGATCCTGGTTGCGGATGTGGGTGCGCCCGCGGGCGGGTTGAGACGTGTCGCCTGGTTGCGGTTGCGGGTGCGCCCGCGGGCGGGTTGAAACGTGTCGCCTGGTTGCGGTTGCGGGTGCGCCCGCGGGCGGGTTGAAATGTGTCGCCTGATTGCGGTTGCGGGTGCGCACGCTGGCAGGTTGAAATGTGTCGCTTGATTGCGGTTGCGGGTGCGCCCGCGGGCGGGTGGAAACGTGGCCCCTTGTTGCGGTTTCGTCTGCGCCCGCTGGCGGGCTGAAGTGTATTTCCTGGTCGCAGATGCGGTTGTAGTTGCGCCTGTGGGCAGATTGAAATGCGTCGTCTGGTTGCGGTTGCGGGCGCGCGCGGGCAGCTTGAAAAGCGTTGTCAGATGCGCCACTCCATTTCAGTCTGTTCAATTCAGATCAGTTAGTCAGCTGAGGGCGCGGAATCTCACCCGACTCCGCCGGGAACCATCAGCGATCAGTCCCTCCATGGTCGAGCCCGGCGGCCCCCAAGGATTCCGGCGCCGCCACGTTGGCGGCGGCATTGACGAATGCGCCGGCTGTGGTGCTGGCGTCGGCGCTGGCGTCGGCGTTGGCGCAGGCGCCGGCGTCGGCGCCAGCGCAGCCGCAAGCGTTGATGCTGGCGTCGGACCCGGCGTCAGCGCAGGCGGAAGCGTTGGAGTTGGGGCTGGCGTCGGTGCTGGCGTCGGCGCTGGTCTAGGTGCCGACGTCGGTGCTTGCGTAGGCACTTGGTGCTGGCGTCGGACCTGGCGTCGGCGCTGGCGTAAGCACCCGCGTTGATGCTGGTGTCGGTGTTGGCGTCAGCGCTGGTGTAGGCGCTGGCGTTGGCGCCAGCGCCAGCACAAACGTTGATGCTTGCGTCGGCGATGGCGTCGGCGCCGGGGTAGGAACCGGCTTTCGCGCTGGCGTAGGTGCTGAAATTCGGAGCTGGGGAGTCGGAGCTGGCGACGGGACTGGCGCTGGCGCCAGGGCGGGGGTCGGAGCCGGAGCAGATGACGGCGGGCGGCCGGAGCTGTCATTGGGGCCGTGGCAGCGAGTGCGGGGTAGGAGAGCGGACGCGGAGGAGGGGCGCTGGATGCTGGAGGCGGGAAGTCGGGGCGCTGAGTCGGCGCAGGATGGAGGTCGGCAAGCGGTAGGCGGCGGCATGGGCGAGATGAATATTTCCTCCGGCGCTCAAACATGGACCCGCTGCCGACCCCCAGCCTGCAAGGGCGGGCACCCCTCAGCGGCATCGACGAAATTCCCAAACGTCCCTGACCGCCTCGTGGAGAAGCTGGCCCTTGAACCTCACGCGGCATTCGCGGTCGTCGTTGTCGTCGCGCCCGATGTCATTGCCCAGCTGGCACACGATGCACACCGAAACCGCCGCCAAGCTCATCTGCCTGTCTCCGCGGGGGGCCGCGAACATCAACTGGCCCACGGTGAATGGAAGGTCTCGCGCCCAACGGCCAGTGGCCACCCAGGCCCGCAGCACTGGACACCATAGGCACTGCTCAACAGCATCTGCGGCTGCAGGGCAGGGCCCGCACGCGGCGATCCATTCCCCCCCGCGGTTGGATATCGCACTCAATACTGCTGCCCGAATACAAGTGTGCACCAATTTGCGCGGCCTTCGTAGGTGCGCGCGCGACGGGGGGCGTTGCCAGGAGAGCCTGCTAGTCGCCACCGCGCCCAATGATGCCGGAGTTGGAATACTGGATCATACCGCCGTTGTGCCAAAAGCTTCTTCCCAAATAACCTCTGGGCACGTCGTTGAAACTCCCCCTCCAGCGCCGTCAGCGCACCCGCTCGTCCGATGAGCTGCCGCCGAACCAAACCAATGTCGACGCCTGCCCTCAATGCCTCGCGAACCGCTGCCAAATCAACGGAGGGGGCGCGTTGCTCGCACCACCCGCAGAATCTCTCCGCGTGGACCACATGATCGGCGTTCCCTCGGCGTTGACAAACTCCCTCTGGATGCCGCCGTCTCCGCGCCATTCCCAAACATGCATCCGCAACATGGCGGCAGCGCTCGTCTCGCGTAGGGGGCGCAATTGTCGGGGCAATCCAGGCTCCGAGCCGTGCTGGAGGTCTGATAGGCTGCACCAGTTCCCTGGGCCTGGTGCGACACGGCGAACCGCCACCGCTTCCAGATCTAAAATTTCCGGTGACAGGTGTTCCACTGGGGCAACGAAAAATAACACGGGCAACAAGAAAAGGTTTTACGTTTCCAGCGCTGTGTGCAAACCTAGATGGTTCCAATCCCACTCGCCTCATATGGATTCGCACTTGGTTGCAGTTCCTCACCAAGACTGCGATCCTTTCTCTCGACGCCACGCACATGCCTAGAAATCGGCCTGAAGTGCCCCAGGTAACAAGGGTCGCCCTCCATGCGGTGACGGATGCTCTCCAACCTCTCACTCCAGAACGGGACCACCACCGTCGTGGAGACGTTCAGCGCAAGACACGATTGCCTCCCGAATGCAAGGAACGTCTTGACAATTGCCCCATGGCCCCGCTTCCGAGACTGAATCGCCATGGCGGCGTCGTCCGCGAACGCTCTGGCTGTAGCTCTGGGAACCCAGACCCCGAGAATCCGGGGCAAGCTGTCGGAGGCAAGCGCGGCAAGCAACGGGGAGAGCGGGCAACCCTGCCGGATGCCCGATTCCAAAGGAACGAAGCCGTGCAAACGTCCACGTAACATCCACTTGCTGGTCGTGCTGTGGTAGAGAGATTGCAGAACTTTCATGGCCGAGGCACGTAGCCACAGGCCACCGCAGCAATCGCCATGAGGTGCTTGCGGGATACGTTCGGGAATGCCACCGTGAACTCCAACAAAACGATCGCGGCGTCGTCGCTCAGAAGGAGAGCGTCATAGTTGCATATTCGATGTCGATGATGCTCCTGGATATGGAACGGCTTGGGGAGAATCCCCGCTGATCTGGTGTGACACAAGGGGCAAGCAGCCGTTCCCATCGCAGCCTGCGCGCGCTGGCGATCATGCGGTTGTCAGCGTTGTGATGATTTGTTGTAGGGGGCGCAAACCTGCGTGCCCTTGGGCTCGTAGAACTGCGTACCATCCTGCTCTTCGCGCGCAGGCTTCTTCGGTAAACGGCACAATAACGGATCGTTGAAGACGTCGTGTTGGGTACTCTTGGCGTGAGACCCGAGCCCAAGAAACGCCCCGTCTCCCAGAGAAGCTGAATGACAGAGGGCCTTCCCTGAAGACACAGATACAGGTTTGAGGATGACCCGCTCGGATTCGAGCAGGGTGCGGCATTCCGTTGGGACCTGGGCGCGAATCCCCAGCAATTCTCAAAGCCTTCTCGATGTCGGTTTTCTGGACACGCCCTCCCCACCGCGGCAGAGCTGGACGTCCTGGACCGATGTGATCCGCCTGCGCCCACCATGCATTGAGCTTCGACTCGTCGACCCCTCTGCGCCTGAAGACGGAAGCCCAGTGCTGTCGCAGTAGAACGGCAGTCCCCGGAAGTGTCCCTCATGCCGTGCAGGCTTCGCGCATGTGCTCGGCGCATCAATATTGCCAGCCGTCCGCTGCCAGCGTTTTCTTGAACGCGCCAGGAAGTACTCGTCCGCCTGTCGCTCGGCTCTCTGCGCCCCACGCGGATCCTGCAACAGCTCTGCCCTCACACGGTCTCCACCGCTTTGGTCTTCAGTCGTCGCAGACAGCCTACAAGATCGGATGAAAGAGTAGCGTTGGGAATATCCGCCGCCCATGCCTGCAGCGACTGGCGTCGTAAGTGTACTGTCGCGGCCACACTGCTGGACTACTTACCGGCGGTAATGCGGAACGGGGTCGCCGGATTGTCCGTCACCGTGGGTTCCAAATAATGTGCGCCGCATGCCGTGGACATCACATTGTGTTGGACCATATGCATGGCCGTCTTGAGGATAGCCAGGCGCTGGATGGAGTCTACCGTTTCTCCACTCCCAGTGCGCTCCCCCCGGCGCCACTGGTATTCTCGAGGCCCGCATAGCTCAGCCCGGGTGATGCACGTACTGCTCCATTAAGCTGAGAGGTCTGGCCTCCAAGCTCGCCGACCGCCGCCCACAAGATACCGGTCGATGATCGGACCCCCCTAAGTGCCAAAGGGAACACGATGGAGAAGAAGGTAGAGGGGAACAAAATCTGCTGCGTGGTGCGTGGTGTAGTTGCGGTCGAGGCAAGATCGGCCAGAAGATGAATTGTATGTGCACTGGGGCTGGATCTGATACGGTATCCCGGCAGTGCTGCTCCTCTGTCGCATCCAGGCTGCCTGCGTGCGCCTCCGTGCTGAGGCTGGGAGCCCTGTGTGGCCTTGCCTGGGAGCTGCCCAGGGCATGCGCACGAGCCTCGGATGTGCTGCCCAGGAGCCACGCAAACGCTTCGGGCGCACGCATTGGGAAAGGGAGGGAAATCTCCCTTACTGGCGAAGGGACTGGCACGCCCCACGCCCCTGCGGAGCACGCGCGCGGGCCCCCATCAGCAGCCCAGTCGGTGGCGGGGCAGGCCTGGGCCAGCAGTAAAGGGGGGAGAGTTCGGCTGAACACGCCCCACGCCACTGACCATCGTGCGCGCGCGCTACGCGCGCCTGTGTCAACCGCACCTCACAGCGGTGAGGGGGACCACGTGCGCAGCAGCAGAGACGCGGCCAGGGCCGCTGCAGAAGTGGCACGGAAACTGCACCAGGAAGCTGGAAGCCCACATGGCCGGATTCTCATGTGGAACATGCGGGGTCCACGCGCTGGGTACACGTGCGGAAGCCCAGCCTACACGGCCAGAGAAGGGACGAGCGCTGGAAAGACATCTGACCACATACATATCCAGCTCTCGCCCATGCCGGCTGCGTCCAGCTTCGTGGTACTGATGCGCCGCAGCACTCCTTGGTGAGCATCTCGATCTCCAGCGTGGACCGCGACCTGAGGCAGGCGAGCTCCTCGGCCAGCGGGCTTCGAGGCAAAAGTCAGCACTGCGGGCCCGTGTCGTGGCGACTTGCGCCCTAGCCTCCGACACCGCGTATATCGTTCAACCTTGAACGATCACATCTTCCCGACAGTGCGGATCGGTCGACGTCGATCGATTCCAAGCCGCTGGCGGCGGGTTCAACTTTGAAGGCCCGCGCTGCGGTCGCGGCCGCGTCGACACGGCACGAGTCTACCGTGCACACTGGCAAGAAGGAAGGAGGGACGTAGAAACAAGAGAGGAAGGATGGGGATGGGGGATAAGATGGGGAGGCGGAAGGGGGATGGGGAAAGGCGGAGGAAGCCTAAATTAAGACGAAAACCTGCCGCGCACATTGTGCAAGTCACTCTCAAAGCTGGTGTTGAAACGATCCCAGGAAAATGGTATGTTGAATCAGTCCACTTGGTTCTCGGACGGCCAACTCTGCAGAAGCCTTCTGGGCGCAGATGGGGGGATTTAGGATGATGTGGGCGGATTTGGGAGGACTCGTAGATTCCAGAGGCGCTTCTTTTTCAGAAGGATTCCTTTCCAAATCGTCTTCAAAACTATTGTTCTGCGGAATCCAGAGGGATTCCTTCTACAATTCTGTAAACAACAATGGTGTTATGTTGCATACAGCTGCGGTGGTGCACACGGGCGCCGCGGTGTATACAGGTGCTGTGGTGCACGAAGGCACTGTGATGCCCACTTGTGCTGTGTTGCACACAGCTGGGGTGGTGTACGCAGGCGGTGTGGTGTACACAAGCGCTATGGTGCACGCAGACACTGTGGTGCACACTGGCGCTGTGTTGCACGAGACTGCTGTAGTGTACATAGGCGCTGTGGTGTACACAAGCGCTGTGGTGCACGCAGGCACTTTGGTGTAACTACACAGGCGCTGTAGTGCAGATCGCCACCTACATGCTGCTGCTACCCGTCCTCGGTCATTCCTAAGCATTCCCGGGCGCCGCCGCCGCGAGACGCGACGTCACCGGCCCCCTTCCCCCCCCCCCCCGGTGAAGGCCGCCATCGCCACGGAATAAAAAACAGGCCCCAGGAAGAGGGGAAGCAGGAAAGACGCGGAGAGACAGCGATGAGGGGGGGGGGGCGGGTCGCACGGAAGACAGGGCTGTGAAGAAGAGGGGAGGAGGAGGAGGAGGAGGAGGAGGAGGAGGAGGAGGAGGAGGAGGAGGAGGAGGAGAAGGAGGAGGAGGACGACGACGAGGAGGAGGAGGAGAGGAGGACGAGGAGGAGGAGGGAAGGAAGGAAGATGAAGAGCGGACCCGAAGATGCGAGAGGAGAACGTGGCAGGCCAAGAAGGCAAGGAGAGAGGAACGAGCACCAGAAAGGGGGGAATTAGAATGCCATGGCCTCGGCCTCCCAAGTGCAGAACAAGGCAGCAGGTAATCCAGCGAGGATAGATCGAGAATCTTTGAGATCTGGCCTGGCCTTCTCAGAGCGTTCCAGAACGAATGTATCCTCGTCCGATCCCTGTCCGAAATGTCCGTCGGGTCGGTATGCGTCGGCACGGAGCGGAATCAAATCAAATCCATCAAATCGGCACGGAATCGAATCACGACGTGTAGTGAAGGGCGCGAGACCGAGTTGGTCGCAGTGCAGCCATTATATGGCATTGAGCGCACGGCAGGCCACCACACAGCTCCAAGTAGTACAAATATCTCAACCTGAAAGCAGCTGTTCCAAGCTGACCTCGGTTGCCCCGCGTAGCCTCAAATATTAAGAAACGACACCGCAGAGTATGACAATGCTGAGGTATGAGTGAAACAGACGGGCAGCAAACTGCATCCGAAATTGACGATCCATGGACTCGGCATTTGCCCAGCGGCCTCGACTCTGCAGCAGCCCCGAGTTATGAACGGCAACCAAAGCAACGAGAAGCGTCTCCTCCTCGCCACGAGCCAAGAGCGAACGGCGATATGCTGAGGGCGAAGACGATGCGCCGCGCGAGCCCGCGCAAATGACAGGGGCACGGCGCCGCTGTCGACGGATGGGCGCCGAACTCTGGCGACGTCAGAACCACCAGCGTGAGGTCATCCGACAAAACGTTCTGGAATTTGGCTCCATGCTTGGCGGCCTTGGAAGACATGTGGGCCGCACGCCTGCCGCCACGTCTCCGCCCAGGTCAATCGGGCGACGCAGGCCGACAGGGCAGCCTCACAGCGGCCGGCGCCGCCGAGGGAGGTCACAAGCGCACCGAACGCGCCCTGCGGCAAGCTTCGAGCCGTCACGCCACCTCGCCGCACCAGTACTCAAAGCACTCTGCGGCCAGCGCGCTGAGCTTGCCCTGGTGGCCGCCATCGCACCTGACGCTGCCGTCAAGCAAGAGGTGGACGCGGCGTGCGGTCGTGGCTCGAGTCAGTGGCGCACGCCGAGTGCGTGAAGGTGCAATGGCAGACCTGCGACGGACGAAGGGTCAACAAGCGCGGCGCAATACAGGGATGGCCACATGCAGACAGCACATACACACACAAACATTCACACATACACACACAACACACACGCATTTCTGTGGCGTCGCGGCCGCGCGCAGCTGCACAGCGTAGAACCTACTCACACAACATAATGATACAGACATGAGCCTTTTTCACGACATACTCAAATATTAGCCAGCGTGGGCCCCAGACCGTGTGCTTCTAGCTACGTAGGTTGCGCAATATACGTGGTGCAGCGTTGTGCAACTATGATGTGCAATACATGTTGTGCAACAACAACCACTTCGCAATCAAAATGGTGGAATATATGAAGTGCAAGTTACGTTGTGCAAGAGATTGGATGTATATATATATATATATATGTATAAAGAAGAGATGTGTGTACAACCATCTACGTGGCGCAGAATATGGCAACATATGGTGTTCAATATATGGCGTGCACTCTATTTTGAGCGATAGATGTGGTGCAAAATATGTGAAGCAATTGAAGTTTACCCATGATTTGACACATCCCATGCTCTTGCAAACATCCCACCCACCCGCCCGCAACTTGGTTTGCAAAACCTCTTAAGACCGACTACGACGACACCGACGACAACGACTACGACGACACCGACGACGTCTCCGACGACTTCGACGACGACGACAACGACGAAGACGACGACGACGATAACGACGACGACACCGACGACGACGACGACGCCGACGCCGACGACGATGACGATGACGACGCCGACGACGACGACGACGACGACGACGACGACGACGACGACACCGACGACGACGATGACGACGTCAACGACGCCGACGACGACGACGACGACGACGGCGACGGCGGCGACGACGACAACGACGACGACGTCGACGACGACGAAGACGACGACAACGCCGACGCGGACGACGACGACGACAAAGACGACGACGACGTCGCCAACGAAGACGACGACGAGGGAGGGAGGACGACGTCGGTGACAACGACGACGACGACGACGGCGACGGCGACAACGACGAGGGAGGAGGGAAGATGGCGACGGCGCGAACGACGAAGAAGAAGGAAGGACGGCGACGCCGACGACGACAACGACGAGGGAGGAGGGAAGACGACGACGACGACAACGACGACGACGACGACGAAATAGGAGGGACGACGACGAGACGCCGACGACGGACGACGACGACGAGGGAGGAGGAGGAAGGACGACCACGGCGACAACGACGACGGAAACAACCACGACGCCAAAGAGGACGACGACGACGAACACGAGGAAAGACAGAGGACGACGTAGGCGACGACGACGACGACGACGGCGACGCGGGAGGAGGGAGGACGGCGACGACGACGACGACGACGACGACGCAAGAGCGCGCGCGCGCGCTTTTGTTGAAAATCCGTGTTGCGAAACCTTGGCTTTATTTTATCATTTTTCCGACACACGATTTTGAAATCCTTCCGGAACCGATGGATTTTGAAGGATTTCGGCATACGCGCGCGACGACGCGCGCGTCTGCACTTCGTCCCATTTGTTGCCGATGATTCTCGCGACGGCACACGCGCAAGGGCGTTCGACAGATTTCGACATGGCCGCGCCCGGAGCCCGTTTGATAGCATGTTGTAAAAATATGGAAAAAAAACTATGGTTTTCTTAAAATGTCGCAAGAGCCCGCGCGTAAGATTTTTTAGCTGAGCAGTGTTGCGAAACCATGCGTGATTGTATTTATTTTGAAAACTCGATTGCGAAATCCTTCCGACACCGAAGGTTTTTTGAAAGATTTCGGCATGCGCGCGCGACGACGCGCGCGTGCGCACTTCGTCCCATGTTTTTCTACCCGGGATTCGTGAAACAAATGTTATGCTAGAACAAAAAATGTCACCGTATAGTGTTTTCTGTTACAGGGGAAACTCAGGGGGGGAACCCGGTTGGCCTGGGACATTACGATTTTATATTTAGGATGGACATGTGGTCAGAATCATATGTGATTTACATACCCGAAAAGGGGACAGGATAACGCCGGGGGGGGCAGAGTCTATCCTCTTTTTAGAAAAGATAATCAACGTGGTACAATACAGGTTGTGTACTATATGGCGTGTTATATATACAAATAGAATATGTGTACATACACACAGCAACCACATACATATATATATATATATATATATATATATATATATATATATATACACATATACATACATATGCATGTATATATGTATATATATATATATGTATGTGCTAAGACCACGCGCGCGCGCTTCTTGCGCGCTTAGGTTCTAGCGCAGACTTCTCCGATCTTGAGCGCGGCCTCGGACGGCGACGACGACGATGAACAAAGACGCCGACGACGACGACGACGACGACCTGCGACGACGACGCAAGCAACGACGACGGCGGCCGACGGCGACGACGGCGACCCGCTCCACGAGCAGGAACGGCTCCGCAAGCGCGCGAGGGGGAAGCACGCGAGTGGGAGCTCTTTCTTTTTCTGGCTTATGTTCCTTATCCTTCCCCTCTTCCCACCGATTGGAGCGCCACGAAGCCTCGCG